TCTCCACAGATTACCCAATGGGAGCCTGATAATGGCTACATCCACGACCTCAATGAGCCCTGGGATCCCACACCGCCCGAAGGTGGAGCAGTGCAGCCTGCGCAACAGGCAACCGGACAGAAAGGGCAACTCGTGGCACGAAGCACTAGTCTAAAAGGCAAAGAGCCGGTTAGGAGCTCACCGCGAAGTGGCACCTTCAGCGACCGGAGCTCACTTCCTTCGCAGCGAGACCAGAAGCCTGCAACTGATGCTGCAGGGCTTGGCCTGGTAGGTGTAGACGATACCCCAGCGGGAGCTGAAGTCACTCGCGCAGAGAGCAAGAGGATCCAAGGGCGAAGAGACAGCAGAGGTATCACGGCGGCGCAGATGGATATGCTGCAAGAGTCGATTGACCACAAGGGGGCCGCCCGCGTAGTCGACATCCCACCGACCAAGCCTCGCATGCCGCCCGTACCAAAGACTACGCCCGTCATGCCGCCCGTACCTCAAACCAACCGAAAGAGTGTCGTCTTTTCCGAGTCCGAATCGGAGTTGGATTCGCACGATCCCGAGAAAAAGGCTCGCCATCGTTTCAGCCGCCATGGCGACCCAGAAAGGACGTACACGCCTAGGCCCGCACTGGATGAATGGAAAAATGCCCAAGTCGGCACGCTTGCCGCTGACGACCTCGACCTCAATGCTCCGGTCACAGCCAACAGTGGCAACAAAGCATGGTGGGAAGAAACCAAATTGTCTCGACGCAGACGCTCAAGCAGTTATGCAGAGCCCAAATACGACGGGTATGCCGACGACACTCACTTACCTACTAGTTTCAACCCACCACTGTATCTCAAGTGTGGACCGCTTCTGCGCTACACGGGTCTTCGCAAAGACCGCAGCAAGCCAGGGCAAGAGCGAGAGATGTGGCGAGGTAGCGTCATGATCGTGACCGTTGATGCTTCTTCTTCTTACTCCAAGCCGCCGACGTTACGGCTGTTCAAGCAGCCAATGGACATTTTACCTCCGCCACCAGCAGAAGTTGATCAGGGCCAGCTTGATCCGTCGTACGTAGATCCCATCGAAGGCCAGATCAAAGTATCGCGAACCGGCAAGACGCTGTACGTTAAACCAATCGACGAGATTGCAGAGGATATGGACCTGTCGCGTGTTGAAGATGACACCGGTCTGTTTTCTCAGACTCGAAGCACTGCAAACGGATCGGTCGCTAAGTCCACCCGTATCCACAAAAGAGACGGCGAAAAGCTGGGCAAAGTGCGCGACTTCCCTGGCGTCCGTCTTCACGCTGAGCGGGGTGTGACATTCTGGCGCTTCAACATTGAAGTCGAACTCGGAACCAGCCAGACCCGTATCGCTTACAAGATCAACCAGGGTCCGGCCATTGGATTCTGGGTCCCTGCCAAAGGCGAATCTATGAACATCATGTTCCATAGCTGCAACGGGTTTTCTGCTAGTGTCGACCCGGATGAGTTTTGCGGTCCAGATCCCCTGTGGCGCGACGTCCTCAATACCCATCAGACCCGTCCGTTTCATGTGATGATCGGTGGTGGAGATCAAATCTACAATGATGCTGCCATGAGGCAGACAACTCTATTTAGACAATGGACTGAGAACAGAAACCCTTTGCACAAGCACCACCAGCCATTCTCCGAAGAGATGCAGAACGAGCTCGAGCAATTCTACCTGGACCGGTACTCGATGTGGTTTTCGCAGGGTCTGTTCGGCATGGCCAACTCACAGATTCCCATGATCAACATTTGGGATGATCATGACATTATCGACGTAAGTGTGAACTCGCGATACTGTCCAATCGTATGCTAACATATTTAGGGCTTTGGTTCGTATCCTCATCACTTCATGCAAACGCCCGTGTTCACGGGAGTCGGTGCTGTTGCCTTCAAATACTACATGCTCTTTCAACACCAATCTGTGCCTGCTGAAACGGAAAAGACGGAGCCCTCGTGGGTACTTGGTAAGAGCCCTGGTCCTTATATCAAAGAGCGCTCCAGAAGCGTCTTCATGCGTCTCGGCCGACCGGTGGCTTTTCTCGGTCTTGACTGCCGTACAGAACGGCAACGGGACGAAATCCTCACCGAAGACTCATATGACATCATCTTTGACCGTCTCGAGGATGAGATTATCAAGGGCGAGACTAAGCATTTGATTGTGCTTCTTGGTGTACCCATTGCTTACCCTCGGCTGAACTTTCTCGAAAATATCCTGACAAGTAGGCTTATGGATCCTATCAAAGCTCTTGGCCGTACCGGTATGCTGGGAAACTTCGTCAACAAATTTGATGGAGGCGTGGAAATTCTGGATGACTTGGACGACCACTGGACAGCAAAGCATCACAAGGAAGAGCGCAACTGGTTCATTCATGAGCTGCAACACATTGCTTCTACCAAATCTGTGCGTGTCACCATCCTTGGTGGTGATGTCCATTTGGCAGCGATGGGTCAATTCTACAGCAACAAAAAGCTGAATATACCAAAAGACAAAGATCACAGGTACATGCCGAACGTCATCTCCTCAGCCATAGTCAACACACCGCCTCCTGATATGATGGCGGATATCATCAACAAACGCAACAAAGTACATCATCTCGATGCAGAGACGGATGAGGACATGATTGCGCTGTTTGACTACGGTGTAGATGGGAAAAAGAGGAACAACACTCATCTACTTCCTCACCGGAACTGGTGCAGCATCCGACAGTACAAGCCAGGGTCCACACCATCAGGAACACCATCACCACCTGCAACTCCAGATGGCCCTGGCATGGTAAGATCGTTCTCTGACTTTGCGCCGGGTCAGCTGGTGAGAAGGCTGAGTGGGCAGCAGACAAGGCCCTCTGCACGACGGCCTGGGCCTCCAGTGTCTTACCGCAACAATCCAGCTTATGCTGCTGCCGATGACGAGCAGGTGGGCCACTACCATCAGCCCCAATCCTCCTTCTCGCCCGACCGTTCAGACTCGGAAAGACCTGCCCGCCCTCGACGCAATTCCTTGTCCTCACTTTTCCGTCGTCGTCCTTCAATGGATACAGACCGCCCAGGCACCTCGGAAAGTGCAACGCCTCGGGGTCGTAGGAGCCAGTCGCAAGATCGACCCTCTAACTTCCACCGCCGCCCTAGTGTGCTAAGCAAGAAAAGTATGAAGAAGCAGGAGTACATCAACCTCGAAGGAGGTCTTGATATTTGCCTTAATGTTGAAGTTTCACAGCACGACCCGGCAGGTATCACAACCCCATATCGACTGGTTGTACCGGCACTAGATTATGTCGAACCTGAGCCTGGTACCGAGGAAAAGGAGCCTCGTAAACCCCGAGGTTTTTTCCGTGCATTTGGTGGAAGACGCAAAGCTACAATTGGCGATGATGGAAATTCTATTTCGGGCAGCGAAAGCGGGAGCGAGCTGGGCGAGATATCCAGTGAAAGTGAGCAGGAGCGCACGCAACAACAGTACAAAGTCGGACCCAGGGTCATAGTGCCGAATCGACGCGAATCGACCTCTGCTCCCGTCACACCTTCAATCCCAACTCCTGCCATGGCTTCTGGTTCTGCACCGGCCCCGGCTCCGGCTTCTGGCCCCCGTGATAATCGCCTCAGCTCTGGATTTCATGCCAATATGGCCAGGGCAGCCGGCCCAAATCAATCTGATGGGGCTGTTCACAATCCTGCACCTCAGAGTCAAGGACGTCGAAGTCTGGACTTTGGTCCGAATGCGGGTGCTAGAGCCTCTGCTTGGGACAGTGTCACTGCGAAAAGACACGCCAGTGCGCCTCAACATCCTCAAGGGGTGCAGACTGCGACTCAAGCAACTGTGGTTCCATCTCGTTCCGCCTCCACGCGCAGACAGCCATCGTACAGCAACTCTTCCCACAAGTCTCAACTACCCGCTGCACACCCTGATGAGGGCATAAAGGTACAGAGAAGACCAGTACCCGGTACTGGAGGTCAGAGCCCATACGGCCTCGCATCAACACCATCGCAAAGGCGGGCTAAGCGTGAATCATACCCACCGCACCCAGCAATTGTCGGTGCGGGACCAGGTTCGCCATATACACGCGATGGACAGGGTCTTCAGCCCAGGCAAGACACTGCAGGTGGTGACTACTTCAGCAGCGGGGGTCGCGACGGACAAAGCCACCCTGCAATGGCACCCAGACAGGTGATAGATCCAGAGTACACCGAGAAACCAGTCCAACGAGCCGATTACGCCGCGCAACCACAGCGAGGCGGCTATGACAGGACTGCTGCATACCCAGCCTACCCCCAGCGCAATGGCAGCGTTAGCACAGCAAATAGATATCTCGGTGGAGGCAATGGAGATCCATCTGACGATGACGACAGCTTCGATAGTGCCGAGGAGGAGGATGTAGGCTTTGGTCAGCAGCATGGAGAGCAGATGAGTCAGGATAGCTTCGTGGTGCCGAAGCGCAAGAAGAAGTGGCAGATTTGGAAGTCATGAAGCAGCGAGAGATGCTATAATGAAGGTGTTTAATGCAATCTAGGCCCACTCTTAATTGAGTCCGGACTTGGATTGGTAATTACGAAGTTACGATTGGAGGTATACCACTGTTTTCTGGGCTGGGAAAAAATCGAGGAACATGATGTTTGGCAGTGCGGCGCGTTTTGCGCAGCCTGTGTTTTCTTCAACGTTTTTTTTTTCTTTACGTACTAGATATCCTCTGATTTCCTCACGCTCTCCTCCCTAATCGAATATATATGATATTCTTTTCTCGTTATTCTACGAATAAAGTGGTGCTTGGATTTTAGTATGTGAATTTCTATGGCCTGGCAAGAGCCTTTTCTGAAGAATCTGCACAAAAAATGAGCACAATAATCAAACATCAAGTACACGTCTAAACTTCGTCCGTGTACACATGCACTAGCAAAAAGTGAGTTGCGGTGTTTCTCTCTATCGAGAGAAAAAGGCAAAAAAAGAAAAGAAGGAATAGTCCTGGTGGGGCTGGAAGAGCTGTTAGTAAAGGAAATCGAACGAAATCCTGTGCGGGAAAACCTACTTCGAACCCACGGCATCCGCATAACCCAGATGAGGTCATAAGAGTCTGACGAATCTTATAAGAACGGCGCGCTACCACTGCGCCACAGGACTTGATGTCCTTGGACTGAATTTTAGTCGATTTTGAAATTGCACTAAATATATTGATATAAACAAAAGAGCGGACGATCCAGCGTGATCCGTTCCGAATCTCACGTCGCACAGGCACCACTTTGGATCGCGAGCGGGGTAATATGACCCATCGATAAGTGATGACACCAAAATCGGCGCTAGCCGCCGGGGTGGCTGGCGTGAGGGGTTGACGAAGCACCGTCCACTTGGTTCCACGTACGTGTACTACAGTGCCCCTTCACATTTGTTACTTGTCATTCTTGCTCTTTACTGCACACAATCACAATTCAAATATCCAGTTCTCTGGTAAGTTGCTCTTTCGTTATCTCCCGGTTGAACCTGAGGGCTCTCCAAGTGGCGGTCTGCAACCTTGCATGTTGCTCGTTTGGGATCGTGGACCTCGCGACAGACTTGGCTATGTGTGCACGACAACCCCAAGGCTTTGCACAATTATTCTCATCTCATGATATCCTGGGCTGACATTTCGAAGAAGCGCCTGGTTTTTGCAGGCCACTATTACAATGACGATTAGAGCTTCCAGATTCACCCCCAAGGTGCTCCTTGAAGCTCCTCGGAGATCTCAGGGCGCCCCGAATTCCGATGCATCAAAGATCCTGTACTCTGCATCCACCTACTGCTTCTCTGAACATGCGAAAAAGTCCGAGATTCGTCTGTTGGATGCTGAAACCCAACAGACCAGTCTTGTGACTGACGACAAGTCTTTCAGCGAGCCAACGTGGCTTGATGATGAGACGATGCTGTTATTGAAGTCAAACGATGACGGAACCACGGACTTGATCATCGGATCGCCAGAGAACTTTGAGAAGAGGTGTGTATCATGTTCTGCCATGTCCCTGTTAACCATGAAATTATTGACTTATTATTACTAGTCAATACTCTGCTGGTACTTTGGAGGGACCTGTAAGCGATCCCAAGGTTTATCCACTTGGGAACGGCGCATATGCACTAGCACTCGTTGGTAAAGCAAAACCAGATGGTACTTTGTTCAACCCGGAAAAGGTGGAAAAATCGCATACGTCAGGAAAGCTATACAAATCCGGCTTCGTTCGCCACTGGGACCATTACGTGACTGAAAACCGCAACGCGATATGGCTTGGTAAGTTAGCCTCAAAGAAGGCTGCCAGCTCAGACACTCTAGAGTTGGAACACCCAATGAAGAACGCACTAAAGGGAACCTCTCTGGAGAGTCCAATCGAACCATTTGGAGGCAAAGATCATTTCGACATTTCGAAGCATGGTCTTGTTTTTACCTCGAAAGACCCCGAACTAAACCCAGCCACCCATACGAAGACAAACATCTATGTTTCAGCAGCCGAGGGCTTCTGGGATGACTTGCATTCCAAAACTCTTCCTAAAATCAAGAAAGCATCGATCGAAGGATTCGAGGGCGCTAGCACTTCGCCAGTTTGGTCAACCTCTGGTAAAATGATCGCATTTCTGTCCATGAGAACCGACGGATACGAATCAGACAAGAACCAGGCCTTCATCATCCATGATTACAATGATCCATCGCGAGCTACTCTTCTTTATGCATCTGAGGATGGCAAAGGCAAGTGGGACCAGAGCCCGCAGTCAATAGCTTGGAGCCCAGATGACTGGCACCTTTACTTTACAGCGGAGTGGCACGGTCGCGGAAATCTGTACAGCGCTGGGCCGCCCGTGCCAGGAAGCGACAAACAACCTCTTCCGTCGTTGCTTGTGAAAGGTGGGACCATCAGCGGTGCACAAGTCCTCAAGAACGGCGATGTATTTGTCACATCCACCAGCCTGATTGAGAACTCCTTGTACTCGCTGGTACCATTAAGTTCTCGTCCCAACAGTACCGATGTCTACAACCTCCCTATTGATGACCGACCATATGACTCGGAGCCTGGCCATCTCACCACCAAGTACATTTCTTCCAACACACGCTCAGGTTCTATGTTTGGGCTATCGCGTCATCAGATCGATGAGATCCACTGGGATGGCGCTGCGTCTGGTACCAAGGTTCACGCCTGGGTCGTGAAGCCCAGCAATTTCTCATCCGGGAAGACGTATCCACTTGCTTACCTCGTTCACGGTGGACCGCAAGGCGCATGGACTGATGGTTGGAGTACGCGATGGAATCCCGCTGTGTTTGCAGAGCAAGGCTACGTCGTCATCTGTCCAAACCCAACAGGCAGCACAAGCTACGGTCAAGACTTTACCGATGCCATCCAAGGCCAATGGGGCGGCCTGCCATACCAAGATCTTGAGTTGGGATTCGAATACATAAAATCCAACCTCAACTACGTCGACACAGACCGTGCTGTTGCTCTTGGTGCTTCATACGGCGGCTATATGATGAACTGGATACAAGGCCACCCTCTAGGCCGCAAGTTCAAAGCGCTCGTGACTCATGATGGCGTCTTTAGTATGCACGGTCAGATGTCCTCGGAAGAACTCTACTTCCCCTTCCATGACCTCAAAGGTACTCTCTGGAACAACCCCGAAGGCTGGTCAAAGTGGGACCCGAGCAGGTACGTTTACCAAATTCCACTCATATTCAAGACAATGCTAATCGCTATTGTATAGATTTACGGCAAACTGGGCTACTCCACAGCTCGTGATTCACAGTGAGTTGGATTACAGACTGACAATCAGTGAGGGACTCGCTGCCTTCAATGTGTTACAGAGCAAGGGGGTAGAGAGCCAATTCTTGACCTTCCCGGATGAGAACCACTGGGTACTTAAGCCAGAGAACAGCATGATGTGGCACGAGGTTGTACTCGATTGGATCAACGAGCATGTTGGACTGAAGAAGTACACGGACACTAAGGAGGTGTAAAGGAAGAGTAAAAATGGTTTCGCATATGATTGGAGTACCATAGTATAGCAAAATATGCAGTTCCAACTGTTGGCACTAAATCTGCATATTAGTTTTAGGTAACAAGCTCAATGAAAGTATTGGATGGGCGGATCTGCGCGCGTTGGATACGGTCTTAGCGCGACTTTGTTATCGATAACAATTATTTTCTCGGAACCCTGAAGCTTCCTCTGCGGCCAGAACTTTTACACCCACGCGCCGTCAATCCCACCACACCACGAGCAGCAGGTGGCACTGCCTTGTCGACCACCCCAGAGCACCTCGCGACTCGTTTTTTGCTGCTCAATCGTTTGCGCCTCCCTAGCACAGCCGACTACGAAGAGGAGGCGCCGCCGCCTGCGCAGCTCTCAAGATGCCGAAGAAGGCCATCGACTCTCGCATACCAGCGCTAATCCGCAATGGCGCACAGGAAAAGAAGCGTAGCTTCTTTGTCGTTGTTGGTGATCGCCAGAAGGACGTCATTGTCAACCTCTACCACATTCTGCTCAACGTCGACGTTAAGTTGAACAAGTCGGTGCTGTGGGCATACAAGAACAAGCTGCTGGGATTCTCCAGCCACCGTAAGAAGCGCGAAAAGAAGATCAAGAACGAGATCAAGCGAGGAATTCGCGATGTCGATACTGAGGATCCGTTCGAGCTATTCATCTCGACGCAGAACATTCGATATGTCTACTACAAAGAGACGGAAAAGATTCTGGGTAACACATATGGCATGTGTATTCTGCAGGACTTTGAAGCGCTTACACCTAATCTCCTTGCACGGACGATCGAGACAGTAGAGGGCGGAGGATTGGTTATACTCTTGCTGAAGGGCATGAGCAGCTTGAAGCAGTTGTACACCATGTCCATGGATATTCACTCGAGATACCGAACAGAGGCGCACAGCGACGTCGTTGCGCGCTTCAACGAACGCTTCCTACTGTCGCTCGGAAAATGCGACAGCTGTTTGGTTGTTGACGACGAGCTTAACGTGCTCCCCATCTCAGGTGGAAAGCATGTCAAGCAACTACCGCCACCAGATCCGGAGTTGGAGGGCAAGACACCAAAGGCAAAGGAACTGGCAGAGATCAAGGAATCGCTTGCGGACTCGCCTCCTACTGGAGACTTAGTCAAGCTTGCGAAGACTGTGGATCAGGCAAAAGCCCTACTCACGTTTGTCGAAGCCATCGTGGAGAAGACCCTGCGAAGTACCGTTACTTTGACGGCGGCCCGTGGTCGTGGTAAATCGGCGGCTCTAGGTGTAGCGGTGGCGGCAGCAGTTGCGCACGGTTACAGCAACATCTACATCACATCGCCAAGTCCAGAGAATTTGAAGACACTTTTCGAATTCATTCTCAAGGGCTTCGATTCACTCAACTACGTTGATCACCAGGACTACACTATCATGCAGTCCACCCAACCCGACCAGAACAAGGCCATTGTCAGGATCGAGTTGCATCGTCAGCACCGACAAGTAATTCAGTACATCAAGCCCGAAGATTCGCACGTTCTGGGACAAGCAGAGCTGTTAGTCATTGATGAAGCTGCGGCTATTCCCTTGCCATTGGTCCGGAAACTTATGGGTCCTTACCTCGTCTTCATGGCCTCGACAATCAACGGTTACGAGGGTACTGGCCGATCACTATCGCTTAAGCTCATCCAGCAACTTCGCGAGCAATCACGAGGCAAGGGTACCAACGGTTCGACCCATGTTGTAGATCGCTCAACAGGAAAGGAAACAAAGGACGCTTCAGAGACCACGATGACAGGTCGCTCGTTGAGAGAAATTACCCTTTCAGAACCCATTCGATATGCTCCAGGTGACTCTGTCGAGCGCTGGATGAACGACCTCCTTTGCCTTGACGCAACACTGCCGCGAAAGATTGCCACACAGGGATGCCCACATCCCGATAAGTGTCAGCTTCTTCACGTAAACCGTGATACCCTGTTTTCTTACAACCCGGCCGCGGAGAAGTTTTTGCAGAAGATGATGGCTCTCTATGTTGCTAGTCATTACAAGAATACGCCCAACGACTTGCAGCTCATGTCTGACGCACCAGCACACCACCTGTTCGTCCTCACTGGACCAACAGAGGAGAACAAGCTTCCTGAACCTCTCTGTGTTATTCAAGTAGCA